ATATAAATGACATCCAGGTATAAACAACCCAACGGCCGGGAAATTTCCACCGCTGGAACTTGCGCTGCGCACTGCTTTCACGACAGCCAGATGTTCAACGTCGGCGTGACTCATCAAATGCGTGACAATGTGCAATGCAGTACTCTACAAACGGAGTTTCTATTGAACACGGGTGTCTCTCAAGGACAGGGCCAACCCCGTGAACACGGCGCGGACCAACCCATCGATTCCGTGCTTCCAGGAACCCCAGACAAAGACCAGGCACCGCTGGCAATTCTACATCACCGACAGTGCCACGAGAGAAGGGCCGCGCGGCGGTTGGTCTCCTGAAGGGCAGGACACCGCGTCTCTCGTTCTCTCTCCCTCCCCTCCTTCAAGACCCATTGGCCTGATGCCAGCCCTGCCCGCCCCCTTGCCCACGGAAATAAAATGTTGACGCAATGCCCTTCCTAGAACCGTGGATGGAGGCAAAGAAGCTGCCATGAAAGTCGCCCATTCTCCCGGCTCTCCTTGCGACCCTCGACCCGTCCTGCCACGGAAATACCCAGAGCCTCCCGCAGGCGCCCGGGAAGGCTCTTGTGCTTCGCAGAAGGCAAGTCGGGTTCAAACCGGTGACCCAACAGAAGACATTTATGGACTGATCGCCTCTGCGGATCTCCAGCGTCAAAAATACGACCAGCATTCGAAGAAGAGAGCGCCCCAACGGCTTCGGCCGAGCATGGACGCAGAGGCGCTCCGCGAGTTATCGCTCTCCAACGCGAGTCCAAGTGAAAGCACAGGGGGCACCGGGCTCGCTTGGCGTCCATTTGCAAGTGGAGGAAAGGTATTGTGGAGGACTGGAAGCGGTGGAGGCGGCGCTAGCAGTGGTGGCGACTAGGTCGGGCTCCCCACCCCACCACCATCCCCGCCCCATCCCTATCTCCCCTCCCCTGGCTCCCCCACCACAATACCGGTGTGATCTGGTTCGGGCCAGCAGAAACCCCAGCGCAACCTCGGCCACTGTGGAGGGACGCCATTTCAAACTTTATCACACATCTCGCCGGCAGTTAACGCTCTAACATCCTCATAAACGACAAAATAAAGGCAAAGAGAGCAGAGACAAGCGGAGGGCTTCCCTCCACCACTAGATGGCGGGGGTCGCAGAGCGGGTTGCTGGAAGGGCGTTCGGGCGGGACGAAGCCGAAATCAAGAGTTCTTCTGGGCCACGACCGTACCCCGGGCGGTTTTGTGCAACCCCGGTTTATACGCGCAGGGGCACGCACGCACACACGCACGCATACACACGCGCGCGCGCGAGCGCGCACATACACACAAATATATGTATGTGTAATGTATGTATGTATGTATAAGTATGCATGTATGTGTATGCATGTATATATATGTAGATATATGTATATATGTATATGTATAAATATAATTATATATATACATATATATAAATATAAATATATATTTTTTTATATAAGTGTATATATATGTATATATGTGTATATATGTGTATATATATGTATATATGTGTATATACACATATATGTATGTGTATATATACACATACATATGTATGTATATATATACATATATATATATGTACACACATATATATATGTATATCTATCTATATATATAAGTATGCATGCATATACATGTATGCATACGTATATACATAAACACACATGCATATATACAAACAAATACATATATACATATACTTATACATATATGCATACACATACATATATACATACACATATTTATATGTACAAACAAATAAATATATATATATACACACATTCACAAACACACCCACACACACATATATATATGCGTATGTATATGTGTGTATATATGCATATACATGAGAGAATGTGTTTATGTTATAATGTATGTGTATATGTGTATGTATATGTATGTACAGAGAGAGAGAGAGAGAGAGAGAGAGAGAGAGAGAGAGAGAGAGAGAGAGAGAGAGAGAGAGAGAGAGAGAGAGAGAGAGAGGAGAGAGAGAGAGAAGAGAGAAAGAGAGAAAGAGAGAGAAAGAGAGAAAGAGAGAGAGAGAGAGAGAAAGAGAAAGAGAAAGAGAGAGGAGAGGAAGAGAGAGAGAGGAGAGAGAGAGAGAGAGAGAGAGGAGGAGAGAGAGAGAGAGAAAAGAGAGAGAGAGAGAGAGAGAGAGAGAGAGAGAGAGAGAGAGAGAGAGAGAAGAGAGAGAGAGAGAGAGAGAGAGAGAGAAGAGAGAGAGAGAGAGAGAGAGAGAGAGAAGAGAGAGAAGAGAGAGAGAGAGAGAGAAAAGAGAAAGAAAGAGAAGAGAGAGAGAGAGAGAGAAGAGAGAGAGAGAGAGAGAGAGAGAGAGAGAGAGAGAGAGAGAGAAAGAGAGAGAAAGAGAAAGAGAGAAAGAGAGAGAAGAGAGAAAGAAGAGAGAGAGAGAGAGAGAGAGAGAGAGAGAGAGAGAGAGAGAGAGAGAGAGAGAGAGAGAGAGAGAGAGAGAGAGAGAGAGAGAGAGAGAGAGAAAGGAGAGAAGAGAAGAGAAAGAGAAAGAGAAAGAGAGAGAAAGAAAGAGAGAGAGAGAGAAGAGAAAGAGAGAGAGAGAGAGAGAGAGAGAGAGAGAGAGAGAGAGAGAGAAGAGAGAGGAGAGAGAGAAGAGAGAGAAGAGAAGAGAAAGAGAGAAAGAGAAAGAAGAAAGAAAGAGAAAGAGAGAAAGAGAGAAAGAGCGAAAAGAGAAAGAGAGAGAGAGAAGAGCAAAAAAAGAACAGCTCGCCTTATCCTCGGCGTCCCTCGCCCCAAGGCACACTTCGCTCTGGATGAACCGTCCTTCTTGACACCTTACGGATACTACGTCACTTAACTGGTGTGTTTGGGGCTCTCCACTCCCTGCTGTTTCCCTCTCTGACTGACTCTCCGACTCACTCACTCACTCACTCACTTACTCATTCACTCGTTCATTCACTCTCACTCATTCACTCGTTTACTCACTCACTCATTCACACGCTCATTAACTCACTCGCTCATTCACTCACTCACTCATCAACTCGCTTACTCGCTCATCCACTCATTCATTCACTCACTCACTCACTCACTCACCCCTTCTTTCTCGCCTCTTTCTCATTTATCCTCGCTATCTCCGAAGCGAATAGACAATAAATGTGAAAGAGGGGGAAAATTTTACAATATGTTGTAGGCCTACTATTTTTTTGATGTTTTATACTATTTTCATGTTTTATAAATGTTATACCCGGACTACCTTTTCCTGCGGTGTCTAAATGTATGAACTTCTTATGCAAATATATGGATATGGATGTGCATGTATGTATGTCTTGTATGTGAATATGGATCTTTATTAATATGCATATAGAATATGATTCTGACACTTATACACGTGTATACACAAGAATATGATCGTATACCTATTATCCGACACTTATACATGTGCGTATATATCCATAACACAAATTATAACATAGAGGATCATGCGTTATATTCCTGTCAACGCGATACCTACAAACAGAGAACTTCATTCCTTTTATCCAGTCCTACAAGCATAAAGCCTCATTCCCTTTATCCTGAGTCCTAGAAAGAGAAAACTCCTGTCCCTCTATCCAGTCCTAGAAACAGAAAACCTCAGTCCCTCTATCCAGAGTCCTATCAACAGAAAACCTCATTCCCTTTATTCAGAGTCCTACAGAGAACTTCATTCCCTTCCAGTCCAACAAACAGAAAACCTCATTCTCTTTAGCCAGTCCTACAAACATATCTCATTCCCTTGACCCATAGTCCTACACAGAACCTCATTCCCTATATCCAGTGTCCTACCAACAGAAAACTTCATTCCCTTTATACAGAGTTCTATCTAAAGCACCCAAACTACTGCCCCCCCCCCTTTACCCCTTCTCGTCCAAACGGGTTGAACAAGTGAACATTGACTCTCGGTTGGTCTGCCTGGCGCTCAGCAGCTCCAGCATACTTACTGAGAAAGTCGACCTCACAGTAACATATTCGCAAAAAAAAAGAAGAGATGTAGGACCCAAGTCTGCGTGGTCCAATTATTGCCCTATTTCACCGCATAACGTGAAAAATGATCGTTTTATTCGTTGCTTATTTAAAAGGGAGAATAATTTGTGATATTATTCATTTACTATTATTTTTTACTTGTAGGACTATCGCCTGCGAGTAGAAATTAATCATACTGCTTATTTATGCTTCTTTAGCAGTATCATCAATGACATTTGCAGTTTGTGTCATTAGGTTTATATTTACGATTTAGATAGAAAAGTAACTGACGTGCACTATAATTTTGCTAAACTGTATTATATATATAGCATATCACATATACATATATAACATATATAACATACATATATGAAATATATAACATACGTATATATAAAATATAACACACACACACAACATACCATATATATAATATATATATATATATATATATATATATATATATATATATATATATATATGTAAAAGCTGATGGCAAGATAATCAAATTAACTAAAATCAAAATGTTTCATACACAAAACAAAAACCTTTCGGAATTTGTCTTTTTTAAAACTAAAAATAATTCGGAATGACACTTGTACATGACACTTGCGTGAGAGATAACAAATACTGGTTGCCCTTTAAAGAACTCGGTGTGATATATACTCAGTATACATGAATGGAAAATGACATTTCTCTTTACACTTAACACCCGACGGACAATGCAATAATTACTCTAAACAAATATCATCCCAAAACACGAAATGATTAAATGAACTGTGAGCTTAACTGGTATATACAAATATTTATATTTCTTTTAAGCCTGACACTTTCTAAATATCAATAAAATGCACATTTCAGCAGCTACGGGACTTCAGATAACTAACATTAGCAAGAAGCGCCAGATCTTAACTACTCGCGGGCGCGTATTAGCGACTCTGGACGGACGGATCGAATGAAAAATTAAGGTGCTTTTTAACGAACTTTACGGAGAAGAAAACTTTGAAAGGATCTCTTAC